AAGGGAAAACCATAGAGTTTTCCCTTGTATGGCCGTGGCCCCGCCCCCAGCATGCCCGGCGTGCCCACGTCACTTCCTGGTGACGCCCACGCAGGGGTGGGGTTCCCCCCGGGGCATCGGAAATCGGGCCTCCAAAGTGGGGGTTTACCCGCCCCCCGCCCCCACTTGGCAGTCCTAGCACAGACTGGTCAGTAGTTATGAAGCCGTCCTTTGAGCACTGGGTGTTACATGCGAATGTGTACTTCTACAGATTACAAACAAAAACGCTTCTGTGCACAGGTTCTCATGACTTGGAAACAAGCGTGGTGGGTGAGTTATGCAGAATTGCTTTAAGGTCACATCTGGCCCACCTGGCCTTCCTACCTTAGACAAAAGACCCAAACGCCATCTGGGCAGTGGGACAGAGGTGGGGAAAGTATCATGTCCCCCTCACGACTAATTTCAGAGAGGGGCTCTGTTTTGTGCCTTTTCTGTGTACTAAATAATAGCCCAAGGCACCCGCTTTGTAATATCAGAGCAACACGTATTATATTGAATACGATTACGCATTCGATATTTACTTTTTCCTTAAATGCTCAATGTTCCTTTTTCTCATGAATTTCAATTATTGCTATATTGTTTTACCTAAAAGTCTATGTGCTGTGTAGACTTCCATGCGATATTGGACCAATAGGATATAAACATCAAGATGTTTCACTAAAATAGAAAAGTTTTCAAACGTTGCAGGGAAGCTTGCCAAAAAGTACATCAAATTAGTTGTGCAATAATCTAGGAAGCACTGTGTAGGTTTCTGGCTTTAGTTCTCTCTCTGTGTAGGTTTCTGGCTTTAGTTCTCTCTCTGTGTAGGTTTCTGGTTTTAGTTCTCTCTCTCTCACACACACACACACAGACACACACAAACACGCACAAAAATTCTCTCTCACACAAGACACACTGCATTCTTTTGATGTCTTTATCCTCACATAGGGTTGCCAGCACTGGTTTGGGAAATACCTGGAGATTTTGGGGGTGGAGCCTGGAGAGGGCGGGGTTTGGGGAGGGGAGGGGCCTCATCAGGGTATAATGCCATAGAGCTCACCCTCCAAAATAGGGTGCCAGCCTCCAGGTGGGACCTGGGGATCCTCTGGAATTACAGCTCATCTCCAGACTACAGAGATCAGTTCCCCTGGAGAAAACAGATGCTTTGGAAGGTGGACTCTATGGCATTGTACCCCAGTGAGGTCCCTGTCCTCCCCAGGCTCCATCCCCAAATCTCCAGGAATTTCCCAGCCTGGATCTGGCAACCCTGCCCCCCATCTCCCACTGGTGGTCAGGAGGGACCTGGCAACCCTACTCCAAAGCAGCTGTTTTCTCCAGGGGAACTGCTCATGCTCATCTGGCGATCAGTTGTAATAGCAGGAGGTCTCCAAGTGCCTCCTGGAGGTTGGCATCCCTGTCCTCACAGCATTTCGCTTATTTCGTTATTCTTGTGATACTTTAATAAGAGGATTTCAGAACTGGGTTTACCGTGGTTTTAAAACTACATCGCCCAAGATGCATTGCGACACTGAGCCAAAGTGCATTTGAAGACACATTTGTCATGGGTTACCGGTTAAAGGCAAAGAAATGTTTAAAAGATTGAAGACACCACACCACTTCTGGTCTTCCAATCTGGTTGAATTCATGTTGGCAACTATTGTCAGGGAAGGGTTACAGGAAAGGAATAAAAATATGAGCTCCTTTTGCTAGGTTTCAGCACTAGGGATTCCAGCCTCCAGATGGGACCTGCAGATCCCCCCAGAATTACAGCTCGTCTCCACACTGCTGAGATTAGTTCCCCAGGAGCAAATGGATGCTATGGAGAGTGGGCCCTGTGGCGTTGTACCCCACTGAGTTCCTTGTCCTCCCCAGGCTCCATCCCCAAATCTCCAGGAGTTTCGCAATCTGGATCTGGCAACCCGATGCCCCCGTCCCCCGCTGGTTTCACGCCTTTCTAGTTTCAGCCTCAGAGACAACATTCCACTAGCCTCTTCCCCACAGAGGGCTTCTGACACACTAGACAGCCCCGCTCTTTGGGCTCGCCTCCTAAGATCAAGCACAATCTGGAGAAATTCCGGTTCCTCCGATATGGCACAGACGCTCTTGGGTCGTTTGAGATGGCAGCTTTCTCTGTAGAGCCAAATATTTGGCAAAGGTTGCAGAAACACTAGAACTTGAGTGGGAATCTAACCGGGTGGCGCATCCGAGCGGCTGGGAGGGTGGGGGAACAGGATACAGAGACAATGGTGGATGCCGACAGACCTTGAGAATGCTGTGGGAGTAGACGTCTTATTTTATTTAACTAGTCAGTAAATCAATATACCTGTCTGTCCATCGGATCAGTATTCTCAGGGTGGGTCCCAATAGAAACGCAAACGTCGTCTCAAAAACCAACTGGACAATAGAAAGAGTACAGACAATAGCGTAATGGCAAACAAGGTCTGGTGGTGTCAGAATTAGCTTGGTGAGCCCAATGCTTCTGAATCTGCTGCAGATTCCCTGACACTGTTTAAAATCAGGGATCATTTCCTGCAGGAGTGCACAGGAGTGGAGCTCCGGCAGTAAAGAGCCCAGGGGGCGGGCACATGCAACAAGCCCCACCCCCTGCTCCCAGCAGCCCCAGGCTACAAGGAGCATGAGGATCTGTGCGTCCCTCCCCCATAGCTAGCAATCCAAAACAGTCCAGTGGAGCCTGAGCAGTGGGTGTTGCCTTCTGACACACATCCGGTGATGTCAGGGTATGTGGCATATGCAAATAAGTTATGCTAATGAGTTATGCTAATGAGCTTCTGCACCTCTTTTTCTACGGAATGACCCCTGTTTAAAATCAAAACCAAATTGAAGAGGCCTAGCTGGCAAGAGTCCGTCTAGGGAAGACACCCCACCGGAACAAGAATTTTGCATCTCCTTGCGATAGCCAGTCTGGCCCCGGAAGGGATCAGCTCCGTTTGGTTGTGCAGTGGGTCTCCTCCTCTGAGACGCAGGTGGTGGGAATGAGTCCCTGGGGGAAATGTGCTCGTCACGTTTTATTGTTGTATTTTTAAAATTTGGAATACCGTAAAGGGTGCACCTCTTTTTTTTGTATGACTGGTCTAAGGACCGTAACAATAAACTGAACTGAACTGCTTCCCTGAGGGTTTCCCGGCTATGGCTTTCTCCGCCGGCACCAAAACCGTTTTCTCTCCCCTCCCCCAGGACATCAACAAACGCCTGTCACTCCCGGCCGACATCCGCCTGCCCGAAGGCTACTTGGAGAAGTTGACCCTCAACAGTCCCCTCTTTGACAAGCCCTTGAGCCGGCGGTTACGGAGAGTCTCGTTGGTGAGTGACGGTCCTGCCCTCCCTCGCTTTCCCCCTGCTGCTCTTGTCACACCCCTCACGGGATCTGGAGCAGCAACAGTTACCCTCCCGCTGGCTTTCTAAGGTGCCCCCTAGCAGGGCGGCCTATCACACCTTTGTGTTTCTCTGTGCTTTCTTGTGCAGTCGGAGATCGGGTTCGGGAAGCTGGAGACGTATGTCAAGTTGGATAAGCTGGGAGAGGTGAGTTCTCCGACCATCCTTGTCCAGTTTGGCCAGGGGGACGGGCTGGGCTCTGATTGGTCGGGTTCCACCCCATTGTCTTCGCTTGGCGTACCTTGAGAAATCTTCATTCTAGCCTTGACCAGTCCAGTATCTCTCTCCTTCACCATAGCAACAGCTTCAGCTCCTGCCATTCCAGTAGCCCCTCTCCCAGCTGTTTTGGACCAGCCAACCTGGGTGATAATCTAGTCTTGGGTTTCAAAGTCCTGGGTTCCAATCCTGCATGGTTTCACTACTGGGGACTTAGAATTGGGTATTATTGACATAGAGAGGCCGTCCATATTCAACCATAGCAGTCTGGTTTTCTCAAATAAGAATCGTGGCAGCTCTCATGTAGAAATGACTGCCATTCGATCAGCATTGAGTCTTTACTGTACATAGTGTTTTGCTGGATAATATAAGCTTAAAAAGACTGTTTCCTCTTCCAAGGAGCTTGAAATCTATATGTTTTATTAGTATGGATCTAGGACCAGAGGAGAGGGGAGGAATGGGAGAAGTGAGCAGAACAAGGGACGGATACGAGCAAACGCATTTGTAAAGAGAGCCAGTTTGGTGTAGTGGTTAAGTGTGCGGACTCTAATCTGGGAGAACCGGGTTTGATTCCCCACTCCTCCACTTGCACCTGCTGATGTGACCTTGGGTCAGTCACAAGCTCTGGCACAGCTGTCCTCGAAAAAGAGCAGTTTCTGTCAGAGTTCTCTCAGCCCCACCCACCTCACAGGGTGTCTGTTGTGGGGAGGGGAAGGGAAAGGAGTTTGTAAGCCGCTCTGAGACTCCAAGTGAAGGGCAGGGTATAAATCCAATCTCCTCCTCCTCCTCCTCCTCCTCCTCCTCTTCTTCTTCTTCTTCTTCTTCTTCTCGTATGATCCTCCTCCTCCTCCTCCTCCTCCTCCTCCTCCTTCTTCTTCTTCTTCTCGTATGCTTTGTTTCCAAAAGCGTTCCACGGAACTCAGCACTGCAACTCTGACAGAGTCCCAGTGCACAAAAGGGTAAAACTGGCAAATGCCAGTGAGAGACTAGCGGACATTTTGATAGTTGCATTCTGGGAAGTTTGGAGTTTTCCCTCAATCCATTGAGAATTATGATGCTCCCATCCTGAGAGAGCAAGTTTGGTGTAGTGGTTAGGAGCGCGGACTCTAATCTGGGAGAACCGGGCTTGATTCCCCGCTCCGCCACATGCAGCTGTTGGTGTTACCTTGGGTCAGTCACAAGTTCTCTTAGAGCTGTTCTCTCGCGAGCAGTCCTCGGAAGAAGGAAGAGCTCTCTCAGCCCCACCTCCCTCACAGGGTGTCTGTTGTGGGGAGAGGAAGGGAAAGGAGATCGTAAGCCGCTCTGAGACTCCTTGGGGGTAGTGAAGGGTGGGGTATAAATCCAATCTCCTCTTCTTCTGACCCTGTGCTGTGGGGGCAGCTGCTTCCAAAACACTGTAAAAAATCTGTGCAGCCAATCAGAATTCTTCCTGGGCAAAAGCCCCACCTCACTTTGCCCACTTTCTGAAAACACCCGGAGGGTGCCAAGAAACATGTCTGCAGGCGCCATGGCACCCCTGGGCATTGCGTTGGGGAGCCCTGGTATACAGCATGTATAGAGATGCATTTAGTCATGCGGGTCCCCCCTGCTTGCAGTCTTCAGCACGGAAGCCCAAAGGCAGGTTTATTGTCTCAGGGAGAGCCAGGGAAGTGGATCCACGGACAAAACTCAGGGATGTTAAGGGAGGAGAAACATGTTGTGGAAGTCTCTCCCCAGGGAGACTGGCCTGTCCCCTTCTGTTGCCATCTTCCACCAGCAGGGGAAGTCCTCTTTTGCTTCATTTGGCACTCCCTCAGTGATTCCTCCTTCCTAACCCACGTTTTAATTGCTGTTTTTTTATGCCTTTTGTTTGTCGTATAACTTTGTTTTTAATTTGTTTTAATGATGTGTGTTTGGGTGGGGGGAGGTTGGTTTTTAGTAGTTCTAAAATGTTATTCGGTCGTGTGTGTTTTCAGTTGTTGGCTGCCTCGATGGCCCCCGTGAGGGCAGAAAGGGGGGGGATATAAATGTTGTGAATAAACAAATCTCGGTCCGAGGCAACCGGAATGGGAGCTGTCCGGGGACAGTGCCACTGAAGCTGCCACGTAGCCGCTGCTGTTTGGCATTCCTTTGTTTGCGCTTTGTGGGCACTTCTCCCAGGAGGGGATGAGGGAGCAGCTGATACAAGCTGGGGGGCAGCGTGGGGGATGGGGGCGGGAAATCGGAAAAGGTGCCGAAAAGGGCGACTAAAATGATGAAGGGCAGGGCTATTTTTGGGCAGGAACGCACTGGAACGGAGTTCCGGCTGGCTCCCGAGTTGGCCACGCCCAGCAGGAACTCATTAGCATAATAGGCCACACCCAACAGCAGAAACTCATTAGGATTGGCTACAGCAGGGGTGTGTGGCCTAACATGCAAAGAAGTTCCTGCTACAAAAAAAGGCCCTGGGTTTTGACAACAAACAAGGTAAACAGAATAAGAAGGGAAAGGTGGGTGTGGCTGGATGACCACACTTCTGGTAACACGGGTGTGTGGCCTAATATGCTAATGAGCTGCGCTATCATGGGTGTGGCCTAATATGCTAATGTATTCCTGATGTTGGGTATGGCCTATTATGCTAATGAGTTCCTGCTGGACTTTTTCTACAAAAAAAAGCCCTGATGAAGGGGATGGAACACCTTCCTTATGGAGAAAGGTTAAAGAGGTCAGGGCTCTTTAGCGTGGAGAAACGGCGACTGAGGGGTGACATGAGAGAGGTTTACAGAAGTATGCATGGGATAGAGAAGGGAGAGAAAGAAGAACTTTTCTCAGTACAAGAACTCATGGGCAGTCAATGAAATTAAAGAGCAGGAGGCTTAGGACAGATCAAAGGAAGTACTTCGTCCCCCAAAGAGTCATTAACACGTGGAACTCACTGCCACAGGAAGGGGCGGCGGCTACAAGCACAGACAGCTTCAAGGGGGAATTAGATAAGCATATGGAGCAGGGGTCCATCAGTGGCTATTAGCCACAAGGTTTAGATGGAACACTCTGCTTGGGGCAGTGATGCTCTGTATTCTTGGTGCTTGGGGGGCAGCAGTGGGAGGGCTTCTGGAGTTCTGGCCCCACTGGTGGACCTCCTGATGGCACCTGGGTTTTGGCCACTGTGTGACCCGCAGCGTTGGACTGGATGGGCTGTTGGCCTGATCCAGCATGGCTTCTCTTATGTTCCTAACCTCCATGGTAGAGGGGAACAAGATGGCTGGGTATTCTGCACCAGGCTCCTAACCATGTCCTCATTGCCACAGGGGACGTACGCTACTGTCTACCTACAAGGTAAAGAGTAAACTCACAGACAACCTGGTGGCCCTGAAGGAGATCCGTCTTGAGCACGAGGAGGGGGCCCCTTGCACGGCCATCCGAGAAGGTGAGTAGGGGTCCCTTGCGGTGGAGAGTTTTTTTAAACGAAAGGGAAGTGTTCCTCATTGCATAGCGAATCAGAGCTAACCCATGGAACTCATTACCGGGGGATGTCGTGGTAGCAACCGAAAGGAAAAGCTTTTAAGATGATTGCACAAATGTGAGGCAGATGGGTCCGTTGACTGCTGACCAGAGTAGTCACAAGTGCCAGTTCATGAAACAGTTACGCGGATTACAGGGGGATTGTGATCTGGCAAGACCATTGCGGCCCACCAACCATGTATATTGTCTGATTAGGGACTTCATCTCTTGTTTGTGCAGCCTGCCTGAAACTGGAAAAACAGGAGTTTGGCAGGTGCTTGGCACAGTGTGATAAGTGATTGATGAACTGCATTCAGCATGGCCTTGTGGGAAGGGCAGGATAGAGATTGAACCAGATAAATAAATAAAAACATAAATAAATAAAATTGCCCACCAACACCTCAAAGACTGGCAGGTGAAAAAACAGGGTGGTTGGATGTCACTTCCAGTGAATACCGGAAGTGATGTCATCACCCTGGGGGCACTCTAGGACTGGTTTAAACTCTATGATTAAAACTGTCATACGCTTGCTCCTGTCTTCTGAGCTACGTAGGCCCTCTGAATCTGGGTCTCTGCGTATGCCAGGGACTCAACGTAGTTTAGGTAGCGTGCTCAATGTTCTGAGCCCCTGTTTTTCCTAAAGCTGCCTGGTTTAGCCTTTAAAGAAGTGCAGAGGGGTCCAAACCGGCCTCACTGTCCAATAATCCTTCAAACTCCCAGTTATAAAAACATATAAGGTTTATTCACAAGGGTTAAAACAAACGGGGGAGTTTAACATAAAACAGACAGTAGGCAATCTTATCTCGCTCTGCTAGCTAGCTGGTTCTAACAAGGATTTGCTATTGGTTCTTTCCTGGGAACTTCTATCTCGTTTTGCTCAGTTCCCTGCTTCGAGGTTTTCCTTCCCAAAGCTTACTTGATTGTAGGCCCACTTGGTCTTCAAACAACCTGCCCCCAGACAATAACTCACGGCTGACAATTCACCAAGTCCTGGCTGTGGCTCTCTCGGTTCGTCAAAGCCTCCTGCAGCAAAATGTGTGTACTCCGACAGTTCACCAGCATTCCTCCTCATGGATTTCGATGAGCTGACTTCTCTACCTCTGGGACTGTATCTTATTGTTCAATTCTCCAATCCCCGTCCCAGATCAATTGGAAATTGCCACCTAAACCAGGTGCTCCCATTTCCCTAAGCCTTAGGTGTACTAACACTGACTAACTTACAGTTACACATTGGAACTGATCCTGCCAGTAAGTACCTCTGGCATGACAAAAACCATAGTGGGTTTTCTTGTAAATCCTTGAGCATCCCTCACATAATGACACCACTTCTGATTTCCCCCAGAAATGACTCTGTGTGCCAGTGTGAAGCTAACACAACTGTCCTCACCCCCCCCACATGCTCCCGAGGGTGCCAGGCCACAGCCTGGTAACTGGTAACACAGAACACAGTCACTGGTAACACAGAACGCTTCTTTGGTCCTACCCACCATTGTCAGTGTTTGTGTCCCTGGCATCCTTAGTGAGGGGAACGTGCTTTTGAGCAAAGAGGGATAGAAGAGAAAACATTGTAAAGAGAGACTGGAACTGTTGCAGGACTGTAGAACCACTGGAAACCTTTGTTAGTTGGGCTTCATGGGTTTTTCTAGAACTAGTTGGCCCCAGCAATGCTGCCAGTGCCTCGGGCAGTGATCTGGTCCTGGGTGCCAAGCCAAATGGCCTGGCATGCCCACTGTATTCATGTGTGGTGAGGGCAGGGGTCATTTCCTGCAGGAGTGCACAGGAGCGGAGCTCCGGCAGTAAAGAGCCCAGGGGGCGGGCACATGCAACAAGCCCCACCCCCTGCTCTCAGCAACCCTCAGTCAGAGCAAGAAGCAGCCAGGTAGATTGCAGAGCCCCCCCGGCCCCCCAGTCCAAAACAGTCCAGTGGCACCTTTAAGACCAAGTTTTATTCAAGTACAAGCTCTTCCCTCCTCTGCGAGGACAGATCTTGCACATTCCCCCCTGCCCAACAGCTAGCAATCCAAAACAGTCCAGTGGAGCCTGAGTGGTGGGTGTTGCCTTTTGACACACTTCCGGTGATGTCAGGGGGTGTGGCATATGCAAATGAGTTATGCTAATGAGTTATGCTAATGAGCTCCTGCACCTCTTCTTCTACGAAATGACCCCTGGGTGAGGGTTACATATTCTTGCTCCAGACATGGCTCGCACATTTGCTGCAGCCATAAGGACTAGGAAGTTGTTGTTAAAATGACAACTTGAGATGGTTCCGGGCAGCCAGATTCATTGTCGGGAACCAAACTGTGCATGCGTGTGCACTGAAATTCGGAATTTGCACAGGTCTTGGAAGTAGTAGCTAGTGACTGATTTGGAATAAAACCAATAACTTGAAAGGGGGAAGCCGACACATGCCCGGATCACTGTGTGTCCTCTAGAATAGATGACGAATTCCCATGAGCCGGCAAACACATCCCCAGGAGCCGAGACGCAGCTTTTTCCTGAACTAAAAGTGGAACCATGCTTTCCTTTTATATCTAGAAACCGGTGAGTCACTGTTCAGAGCATACCCTGTGATTTGAAGGAGGTCAGCCCAGAGCAGTGACTCATACAGAGTCAGAGAGGGCAGTATCCTCTGAGGTAGAGCAACTATCCCCCCTACCGTGAAGTTTTTATAGTTTCCAAATAGGGTAGTCAACATAACAGCGAACAGGCCATGTAACCCAGCTCCCCATCCTCTTCTCCAGCATAGCCCGCCAATAAAAGAGGAAAGCAAGAGAAAAGGAAAGAGAAGAAAAAAGGAAGAGAAAACTGCATGTACAGGCAGTAGAGAAGAATAATTTTTAAGAAAGGGGGGGAGGGAAGAGGCAGCAATATGGATCTGACCGAACAGGGTGTGGAGAAGGAGAGGCATCGCTGTGCTAAAGAGGTACGATATCAGTGCCAGAAGGCAACATCAGGGAAAGGCCCTGTTGTTGGACCTCCAGAGGAACTGGTTGGCCACTCTTTGAGACAGGAAGCTGGACTAGATGGAGACCTTTACCTGCATGAGCTCCTGTGTACAAGAGCTTGTGCAGGTAAAGGTCTCAGGCGCTTCTCTCATCTGTTGTAAGCAATCGTCTCCCTTATACAAAGGTCTAACGTCTCAATATTAAGAGCTATTGCCCCCAAAATGAACATGTGTCAGAACGGCCAGTTCCCAGCAGAGTTTGCAGGAGCCAAGGCCAGAACAGGTAATCATGCAGAGATGCAGTGGGCCTACTCCTCTCAGACGGGCAACTTTTGATTCACAGGTAGGGTTGCCAACAGGCCAGGAGGGAAATGTCCTGCCCATTTTAGTAGAGGTGTAATGGAATGTTCTTTATCTCCATGCCGTGAAAAATGTACTGGCCTGTTTCCATACATTAAACATGCATTAAATGGACAGGACATTTTCCTCCATATCTGTTGGCTGCTTTGCAGACAGAATTCATTAATGAGTTGATTTATGTTCCATGGCACCCCCTCAGTTGCAACAGGCATTTTGGAAATTACGACATTCCCTTGATAGACGTGATTCTCTGGCAAATCTCACCATGTACGTCTTTTTTCACTCTCTCTGTCTTCCAGTTTCGCTTCTAAAAGATCTTAAACACGCCAACATAGTGACTCTGCATGACATCATCCATACAGAGAAATCCCTCACGCTTGTCTTCGAGTATTTAGTGAGTATACGGGTGGGGGAGACAATAAATTTAAGGTGTGTAATACTCCCTCTAAGCTATGGAGTCTTGTGAGCAGAAATTCTACTTTGTGAGCTACTGGCATTAAAGTTGTGAGCGAGTGATTTGGCTGCTGCCTAAATTAGTTTGCTCCGGAACCATCCTTCCTGAGCGAAGACAAAAATGTGTGAGCTGGAGGCTAAAAAAAACTGTGAGCCGGCTCACACTAGCTCAGCTCAGAGGGAAACACTGAAGGTGTGCATCTCTTAAGAGCCTAAACTCTTCAACCAAGTTCCAGGAAAGTGCAGAAAACTGACCCTACACAAACCCCAAATGTACAGAGCGATTAAGTTTGTGTGAACAAAGATTATATTTATTTCACAAACCAACCTGGATGGCTCAGGCTGACCTAACCTCACCAGGTCTTGGAAGCTAAGCAGGGGCGGCCCTGGTTAGTACTCAGATGGGAGACACCAGGGGTCATTTCCTGCGGGAGCGTAAGGAGCCCAGGGGGCGGGCACATGCAACAAGCCCCACCCCCTGCTCCCAGCAGCCCTCAGTCGGGCCACGAAGAGCAACAGGCAGCCAGGTAAGTTGCAGAACCCCCCCCCCGAGCCCCCCCCAAGGAACAACG